GGGAAACCGCAGTTCGCCCTCTTTTACATCTTTGCTTAACAAAACCCCAAAAAAAGTTCAAGTTAAGAGCCCCCCCCCCCCCCTGGTGATATTAAAACATGTTCCTTAAATAACAATAAATACCGATTATTAAACTAGGCCTAATCCTTGTGATATTCGAACAGAATACTGATTGGTTTTATATTTATGTTTTTCTTTATTAGTTACAGTTATCAGGTGACAGTTTTTAGTTGGCAGCAGATATTTCAATCTATATATCTGTCTGGTTGTAAGGAACTGGGTGAACCAGTTTCGATGAAATTTGGTAGAGGAATTTGGGTAGCCAGTTCAATGATGGAGTTTAAATTGATGATCAACCGAATAAACGGCTCGAGTTTGGCATCCATTTAACTTTCATCATCTTAATGCCGCGGATGTGGGCTCAACAAAAATAAGGAAGTTTGTATCAAAAATACGCGAAGCCGATGCTAAAAGAAAGAGAGATTAATACCACGCGTAGAACGGGTACTTTTCTAACATTATAACATTACATTTTAAACCCTAAATTTCTTGAGCACCTTTGATAAATAATATCATAATGACTCACAGGCACATTTTTAATGTTGTGGTTCAGTTGCAAATAGAAATATTTATAATGTTTTCTAAAAAAAAATATTTGTGACAATAGTTCGCGTAAACACGATAAAACAAAAAAAAAATTCTAACGAAAAACTTATTCAGCCAACCAGAATTACTCCTTTAAAAAAACATACACACACAAACGTTGTTAAAGAATCAATCACAAAGCAGAACTTTGGTTTAGAATTTATCGTATAATAGAATTAACTAATTTAATAGGCTTAAATAGGTTTAACGAAAATAAGTTTTTAAAACGGAAAATTTTAAACAAATTATTAATAGTGGTATATTAATTAAACGTATTTATATTTTTACACCCAGTGGCAAGTCTGCGGGCTTATAACGCTAAAAATACAAAACAAAGATAGTCCATTAATATATTTCATAATTTTCATATGATAAGTGTTGATGTGTCCTTTCTCATAAATCCCATCACATCGGATATGCTCGCCCTTTCAACCGTAGGGGTGTTATAATGTGACGGTCAATCCCACTATTCGTTGATAAGAGAGTAGCCCAAGAGTTGGCGGTGGGTGGTGTTGACAAGCTGCCTTTCCTCTAGTCTATGACTATTAAATTATGGACGGCTTTCTCATATTTCCGGGGTCAACCCTGTATCAGGATTTACTAATTTTACACGAGTATGATGATGATAATAATCAAAGCACAACACAGTTTTACTTGTAAAAGCAAAAATTATGTAAGAATTCTAACAGCATTACTGTTCTCCCTTTCCACGTGAACGTAGACATCACTGATGGCAAGATACAGCTTATATGCATAACGCCAATTCATTTTAATGGAATATATCGTAAGCATTATAATTCAACTTCTGTTACAGCTGTTGAGCTGATTCATTATAGTCGGAAACATCTAGGCTTAGCTGATGTTCCATTTCACTTCTGTTGAAGATGCATAATTAAAAATAGATGTATCATTAACGGCTCGTGTCTCGCGAATAACTTGTGAAAGTTGGAGTATTTAAATTATTACAAAACGAGCAGAGACCCGGAAAACATTTACAATTAAATTAGTATCTTTATTGTAACAGTTCTTCGTTACATATATAATCTCAGACACCGAAATTTATATGTCCACTTGTCTTAGGCCTAAAATTAGTTAAGCCTTTATTAAGTACGGTAAATATTCGATAAAGAGATAAATAAACACTGTAACATGTGTACGGTTTTTGCTTTAGTTTAGTTAGGGCTAATCTTTACCGTACTTAATACTATCAGTAAATAAACTTATAATATTATTCTACGACCTACCGTTAGACCCTTTTTTTTTTTAAACTATGCCAAGCTTTTAATATGTTGTACAAAATGTCTACTAGAGTATGTTGAAATGAAATGCGCGCGCATTTTCAGGACTGGCAAAAACCTATTATTAATATAATAGATAAATTAGGTAAGTCCTGAATTAATTGAAACATCATTAGTTTATTTGTAGGTAGTTATTAATTTGTTATGAAAAAATAATTAGTGTATAATTAAGCATAATACACACACACATATATAGGAAGTGATTAAATTTGACACTGTTAGATAATTAATCCATTGGTTAATACTCTCGAGTGTATATGTCAGTATTTGCTTTAACCTGGAACTAAAGCCATTCTACGTGTATGTAAAGTTTGACCTCCATCATAATAACAAACTGAACATTTTCATTAAGTGCTTAATTAATTATATGTCATTTTCTTTGTAAAATATAGTAAACATTAGTTAGTTAATGATAATAGGCAATGATGCTACCGATAAGACCTTTTTTTTATTGTAAATTACATTTTCATCAATAAAAGTCAGATTAATCCTCAAATTACCGAATTATTTTTACACCGTTCTTTATAAGTGAGGTCAACATATTGAGTAACTTGATGTTGCTGTTTTTTTATTATTGAAAAAGATGACCACAAATGCTCGTTGAAATCACTCATTTTATATATAAAATATATAGGGCAGCCTAGCGGTACATAGTTGAATTAATATAATATTTTGTTTATATTCCTTTTGTTATTAGCGACCCTGTTACCAGACAAATTCACGAATCCCTAAAAAATTTGGTACATAATAAATAGTTTAGAAAAACGTGTTTAAAACCTTTGTAAGGTAAATAAGTTCACAGTTCAGTGGATCCCTGTGTGGGTACGTCTTAAACATCTCTTCTTATGTGAGGCAAATTAATATCAACAAAAACCTGCATTCTGAATGATATTTATTGGTGGAGTCAAGAATTCTTTGACTGGTGAAGTAATGATCTGTGAACAATTAATTTTGCATTATGCTGTAATTATTGGTAATAACAAGAGGGACCCCTCAATAGCCGCGGATGGATTTAGATCTCAAATGGGTCAAGAGATGAAGCTATGATGATGACAAAACCTTGTAGAAACGTTGTACATTTGCTGTTATGTCAAACCTATATTAAAGTATTTCTTCATTACCCATTCAAGCCGTCTCCAAGCATTATTAGTCTCAAAGTGGGTTCCTCGTCATCGAACTATGAGCTAAAAGTTTGTGTTTGAAAAAGAATCTCAGAAACATTCCATGAGCCGTTATGCCACGGCTAAAAATTCTCTGAGTCGGACGGTGTATTGCTAATATACCGAGGTTTAAAAGATCCAGGTTTAATTTCTTTTTAGAATTTCAATGGATTTGTTTTAAGACTTAGTTAACATCGACGTTTTGGAGCGTCTGCTTAACCATGCACAAAATTTAAGTCTAACCCGACGTTATTACCAGATGAACATATGTACCGCGAGTAATTAAGTTTATGTTCGACAACATTTAATTATTATTCAAGGACCAGAGTTGTCAGTTTGTTTTTTGCGTGCTTCCTGGTCGTATTACATTGTACAAATAGTGTTTAACACCAAGATGAATTATCAGCTTAATTCAGAAACAACATATTTTGCTGCTAAATGTATGTTTTTAACGAATTTTCACACAAGTCCTCTAAATTTTTCCAATTTGGTCAACACACGCTTTTATCCGTGGTACTAGTGAAGGTGCAGAGAAGGTAATCTTGAAGTCCTGTTAGTTAAGTTGAGAAAGCCCAGAATCTTCAGATGGAACGCTATAATATTTCAGTCGCGTGTTGTTTACCCGTGATATAAAGCTACTGACAATATAATTAAGAATTGATTAATTAACAATTCATAATGCTGATGCATAATTCCTTGAATGTATAGTCAGCACTTTTGAATATTACGCAGTCTGAATCTCGATATATACTAAGTTGTTTTCTCTCGTGAACAGACATATTGTAGGTTTCTTATCACTTGTAGGCGTCGTTACTTTAATCGTGGGTAACTGTTTGGCTTTCTTATCTACCAGGTTTGGATAATAACCAATGTGGGTCCTCAAAGAGAACAAAACAGCTACGGTGGCATTTAAATGACGACGAAGCTCCATTAAAACGACTAGCTCGAGAGTTACCTGGATTCAACTGGCTCGAAGACAAAATAAAAAACATTTCCCAATCAGAAAAATTGAATAACACTAGGAATGATGGCCCTGGACACAAAATGGATGCTGACACCAATAATCACTGTGACAAAGAGACACTTTGCGAAGCAGCTAAGAGCCAAAATTGGAGCACAGAACGATCCGAGCAGCCGGAACCCAATCTTGCCATTTCTGCTGAAAAGGATAAATCCAAAGACATCCACAATAGGTCAGAATCGGTTGAAAACGGAGATGAATCCAAAGGGAAGGATTCGCATTTTACGTTTTATAAACAAGTTCCTGTTGGTATGGAAACGTCTTTAGGACAAGAAATTACCAAATCTCCAGCCCAACATACACCGAAGGACCTTTCTGGCCAGCCGATGTCGTCAAAATATCAACACAGTTGGAAACAAGAGAAAACCGAGATCTCTCCTCCTCCTTGGTTTTATTGTCATCCACAAGATTCAGTGTTAGAGGTAGAGTGAAACAATGCTATTTATTCTTTTTCATTTTTATCTTAGTCCTAAAAGTTGTTAAATGAACTAACTACTTAGAAGAACATCTCTTTCAAAGATGTGTGTGTTAGAAGTAAATACTTTGTTTCAACACAATAGGCTATCTGCACTGTGCCCACCGCGGAAATCTAACCACGAATGTTACCGCTGATAAAATATCTTTTACTCGTCTTTAACCTGTCTGGGGCGTTAGTGAGAGATCAATACTTATATAAATCATTAAGACCATAAATGGAATTCCCTGTGGTAGAACAGTTCGTAACACTGGCGAATCTGGTTCGAACCTGTATGATGCCACAAAATGTACCTCACATATTAAGCTGTGGTTACGTTACAGCCAAGCCCTTGGCGTAAGTGGTTCACGTTAGAATGTTGCGCTGACTAACTGACTTCCCTCTGGTCACTAGTTCAAAATTAGGGACGGCAGCAGATAGCATTATTAGCTTTGCCATAAATACAATAAATACAGTTCAAATATGAAAATATTTGGCCTTGTAACTTTTTTAGTTAATTATATTATATATATATATATATGTACTAAAATTAGATTCATCAAAGTTTTTCTGGAGGTGAACATAATAGATGGAGAGATGGGTAATCAAACCATATTGACGTTACTGTACATGATTTAGTGACTACGTCATAAGGAACACTGTATTACTAAGCAAATTCCAGGATTGTAACTAAAACCATGTCGTTTTTTTTTAGGTTCAACGGAAGATGACTATGGATATAATGAAAAGTAATAAACCAAACAATCTTACCGGAGCCAGTAACCTGAAAAGGTATGTAAAATGAAGTTTATATAATGGAACTTGATATCCTGCGAAGTCATTGTTACAGAAAGATATGCGCGTATAGCGAAAACGAAGCCGTCTAGCATTTATAGTTAACATGTTCGACTGATTGCTTATTTTGAAGCAAAGCCACATTGGGTTATCTACTCTGTGGGGAATCAAACCCCGGATTTAAGTGTTGTAAGAACGTAGGCTTGCTGCTGTCCCATCGGGGGATATGCACGATTGATTCTTCTATCTTATAAACACCACCCGTTCGTCGTTATCAGGTCTACAAAGTTAACCCACTTTTTGTTCAATGGTTGTTAATAACTAGAAGTTTGTGAAAACTGAGACGCCATTATACTTTTATTTATCTCGTAGTATAGGATCGGTAAGAACGGATTTATTGCGTTGTAATGTCACACAAATCACCGATAATTTTAGACAGTTTCCCTGTATACTTTGGGCTAAGTTCCTCCAGCAATGCTTTGCGGCCTTCTCAAATAGAAAAAAAGAAATGCCTTGTTAAAAAGCACAAGTAAAGAGTGAGTAAAAAATATAAGACTTTCTTTTTTATTTGTTTGGTCATTTAGTATTGCACAAAAATTGGTCTTTTTGTTGATATGGTAATACTTGGTCATTTATTATTGTACAAGAATGGTCTTTTTGTTGATATGGTAATACTTGGT